CTATAAATAGACAACGGAGGAGGGTCACGTCAGTTTGATCGGTTCCGCTATCTCAGGATAGTGGACAGTGGCGACCGCCGTGAGTCTTCAATTGTCGCGGCTTAACTTTCCTTACAGCGCTCTGAAGAAGGCGATACATCGCCGAAACGCGTCAGCGCCATTTTATCAAATTCTATACCACCTTAGTAAGCTTAAAGAATTCAAAAACTAATCGATGATATGATGGTTTTATGTCTGCGTCTCATAAAATGAACTGCTAATTTCATTACTCTATCTGACATCAAAACAATGATTTTAACCTGCGGAAATTTGTAGTATGGTTTAGAATGAAACGATCATAAAACAGTCATGGTAACATGCGGCTTACATGTTTCATGATCTTGTATGAACGATTGAACTGAATGGCCGTGAGAAGATGATCAAGTTCACCACGATGTAATCATGATTAAACCATTACATTGTGGTAAACTCCAGGTGTTCTCAAAAATCGGAGGTCGAAGCCAAAATCAAATTCGTTCAAATCAAATTACTATCACTCCAGGTGTTCTCAAAAATCGTGACCTACGGAGGTCGAAGCCAAAATCAAAATTCCGCCAAGAAATCTTTTTCGGCAAGTTTCTGACTTGATCATATACTCAGATAATCGCCGGGGGCAGGCGGCCATGCGAATCTTGTGCCCGGGCACCGGAAAAATAGTTCGCTGATTTCTGCGGTCCGCTTGCAGATATTTGGAAGAATGTTGGCATAATCTTAGACGAATGTTCGGAGCAACCGCGGTCTTTTCATTGAGTAGTTGCGCATTCTTAGTGAGCGCATTCGCGCGGACTTTCCGCGAGATTATGCAGAATTGTTGGGAGCCGCACGGTCCTTTCTGGAGGATCGCACAGCCCGTAGGTACTTTTCGTCGAGAGGAAGTACCCCAAACTCCCGTAATCAAACCATCGGTGACACCTCTGCCACGTAAAGTGTTACCTTCCCTCGGCTTACGGCCGAAACTGCTTAACAAGAGTTAGAGCGCCCGCTGAAATTGGGCCGGGCTTCCTGAAAGGAATTATTTGACGGGCGCCCGCACAAAACTTTGTATTGCTGCCCGCTGGCAGAACATGCGACAGTAAAGGAAGTACCGCTTGCTCAAGGTTTGGCCGCGCCCCAAAATTCTGCTGACAGCCTGCAGAAAAGCGCGAGTTTGCGGTCCGCCTGCCCCCGGCTATTATTTGAGTGGTAGGCACCAGGCAAAATAAATGCATAAAGCAGTTGCTAAAATTTTTTGAGACTGGAACAGAAAACAAAAGCAGGCTATCACGAAAATGAAGCCTTTTTACGTTTATTTGCGCCGAATGTGATAATTTTTGGCGATTGGGGCACACATGGAAAGACGATCTTCATTTTGCTTTTGAAGGCCTGTAGAACACAACTATATTTGTGAAACTAAAGCGCTACTGTGTCTGCCAATTTTCGGATTTATTCTTTCTCAGGTTACCGTCGTGTAAAATTACAAGAATGCTTATAATGAACGTTTGTGGGCTGGCAGTACCTGCTAGCAAGTTGGGGGGTATGTGGAATACTCTGGGCTGATATTTAGTTTTTGAGGCAAACAATGCTTCGAGATTTGGATTCAGACTACAGTTGGATTACACATTTACGCGGATATCTGGTAGTCATTCGAGAAGCTTTTTGCTCTATCGTAGAGTTTCCCCATGCGCTTTATATATTAGGTTGGAAACTAAGTTTTGCAACTGATCTCATAACTTCCCTCTCACACAACTTGGCGCACTCAAATTTTGCCACTGCGTTGGTTATTACGTAAGCTACATGCGCAGCTGGTGTCCTACCAAATTCTGACGTCGCAGTGAGGGTTACGGTAGGTGTATGGTATGAAGGGGAAAATTCAAAGTTTGAAAGATTTGGCTGAAACTTGACATAGGAGTGTTATCCGACATGCTGGTCACGAAAACGATAGTGAAATTGCGTGATGAGGGCTTTTTTGTAGGGTTACTGTAGGTGTACGATATGGGGTGGTCTCACCCTAAACAAGGAAAATGGCGTTGGTTCAACAAATGAATATGATATTCGTGTTCGGCAGGTCAAATAACCTTACTATGTGAAGTCTCGGCGGAATTTGAGCTTCGGACTCTTTAGTCATTGACGGTCGTCCCCAGCAGCTCTTGCGTACATCGACTCGTTCGAATTTGTGAGGACACCAAATCTCGACATGCCCCTGATTTTTGTTTCTTTCTCAGTAGGCCAAAGGAGTCAACCTCCAGCATAATTTGTAGACGAATCCGGATTACTGCGCATGGTCTAGACTGCTAAAGGCTCCATTTTAGCTTGAAACCCCAAAAATTTTCAAACTTCACCAGTTTTCGAAAGCATGAAAATTCTTTATCTCGTGTTCAAAATTTAGACTATTTGTGCTCACTTGTAGCTCACACTGCCTTCTATATAATGCCAAAGTTTGAGTGCGCCTATCCAAAGAGAGTGAAGTTACGAAACCAGTTGCAAAACTTAGTTTCCAGCCTAATATACACACGGTTATTGTAGCAGAAGAAACCCTCACTACCTTTGCATCAACCTAATTTCAAGCGTAATAGACCTCATGACTTAAACGATGTCAATAAGCAATCGAAGACCTTGCTTTGTAGACTGGAATTATAATCAAGACGGAGCGTCAGCATAGAGCAACATTATACCTGCAGGCTTCCCAAAACACACTAAAAACCGATAAATGGGCAGGAAATTCTAGCAGTGCATGAACTGCAAATCCAATGCGGATTTTAGTTACGAACATTGACTGAAGCACTGAGAGAGAAAACTGAGAAAACTGACAATTGAGTATCTATCTTTCTGTGTGTAAAAGACATAAAAAGTGAATCAATTTTTGCCGCTCTATTACGCCGCAATATTCGTTTTGCGCTTGAGGCCTAACAACAAGTCGTTTCCAAAAAATTTTCCTTCTTCTTTACTGGTATAATTGGGATTATTTCAGCATAAAAACTTTTTAAACATTCTGATTTCCTACACTTACAGTAGGTATTTCGGTTCAACATTCAACTGGCAGCTACTGCACTAGGAACGCTCATCTTATATGTAAAGCTGACTGTCTGTTTATATGTCTGTCTGTTTTAAGTATGTTCCAAATAGAAAGTTCCAGTTTTGAACCGATTTGGCACACATACATTTCGGGTGGGGGGGGGGGGGTCGTAGATTACTTTCCGTTATCGATCGACATCGATTTTATGGTTTTTATTGACCTACTGGGCTGGAAGTTGGCACAGGAGGGTAAGGACCTTGTGCATTAACATCTTCGCCGAGGAGGGGATCGGAGTTTAAAAGAAAACTTCATATCCTGAAGCTCCAGGTATCTGGATTTCACGCTGTCTTCCCATCAGTAAGTATTTCATTATCCTTCACTACGAACATATTGGACAGAAGCCAAAAGCTGTACGAACCGCATTTTCCAGATTTTTGTATGATTCCTTAATGATCCCGGAGGCCGACAGCCTTCTCTTTAGAGTCATTTTTTCTTTTTTAGAAGTCAAGTAAAACATTCCAAAGTTGCATTGCTTATCTAAAACAACAGCGCTAAGCATATTGCAGATAAAAACAAGTGATGTTTCGGAGTTATGAATTTTGCGGTGAATCAAAGTCGAAAGCTGAAGTTTATCGAGAAATTCGAAATTTCAAAACTCATTTGTTTTTATCAGCAGCATGCTTAGCAGTGTTAGGTGAGACGAACAGTAGTGCTTTAAAGGGTTTTCGTTAATTAGAGAAAATTGACTTTGAAGAAAAGACTTCCGACCGCCGAGGATCATCAGGGGATCGCACAAAAAGCTGTGGAAAATGCGGCTTGTACAGCTTCTTGCCCCTGTTCAGTATATTAGTACATAGTGAAGGATGATGAGACTTATTGAAGTAGACATTTAGACACCTGGAGCTTCAGGAGATGAAGTTTTCTTTTGAGCTGCGATCCCCTCCCGGCGGAAATGTTAATGCATGCGTCCCTAAGGTGGCATGCTGATTACGAGAACAAAACGGGAATAAGGGAAAGGGTGTACAGAAACAGGGATGGCAATCTTTTTACCACTGTATTTTGAAAGAGCCGGGCGGAGCCGTATATGCTAGCAAGTCCCTATATTTTTCAACCTTTTCGGCCACTTTTTGTAAAGCTTTTTGCTCATGGTTGTTGCCAGTACATATCACGTACACATCCATGGTAAAAACACTGCGTACATTCCCTCTCCCAAACGTATGATTCGCGTTTACTTGCCAACTATACTTGACCAAATTCTACAATGGATCAATGCAGCTCTATTCTGTCATAACGAAAAATTCTTTTCAGACCATTGCAGTTTCTTGCAGACGTCAGTTACGTGGATATAGAGGTTTGCGATTGTCATTTTTTTTGCTATGATAGCACTCTTTCATTATTTATTCAGAATCCGCAAGAAAAACCAATGTAAGATTACAATTAAGCTATATCATATCTTATTGGAAGAAAAAATTGAAGTAAATTTACAGACGACTTTTTGCAATCTCACAAGTGAAGCATGTTTAGTCGAAGTTATGGATGGGTTTTATACCGACCAAATCTGCCTTCCTTATCTGCAGAACGTTTATGGACGAAGAGTTATGAGCGCTTATTGAAGCAAAAAATTGAGGTGTAAGTAAATCAAAAATGACCTAATCCTTTTTCTAGCTCTTCAATGGAGCAGTGATAATCATCAGAGCACTTTATTCAAAAAATACTCCGAAATAAAAAATATACTTCACTTGGCATTGATTGAGGGCTAGTAAGATTTTAGCAACTCATTTTATCCGAAATGCACAACCAATTTTTTGCTCCAAAAAAGGCTCATCCTGTCTACAAACGTGATACGGATAAGGAAGGCAGATTTGGGGTCAGCGTTTTATGCCCTTCAGTATGGTATACATCCCATCTAAAAGGCGCACTTCGACTAAACAAGCTTCCTTTGTGAGTTTACGTAAAGGCAGCTTCCACTTTATAGAAGATTGAGTGAAAAGCGAGGGTCTTGTAGGAACACACAGACTGCCCTTGTCCTATCGAGATAACAGCCAAACTCGCTGGGATAGGTCACCTGAGAGACGTCAATGAATACAAAAAGTTGACTCTGACTTACGCGTTACAGAGGCAATAACCATGTGGTAAAAGATTGAGCTGCACGACGAGCTTTCACAAATGTTGAGCAAAGCATGACTCTTACCTCATTATCAACAGCAAGGGGTTGCAGTATGTCAGAAACTTTTTCTGCACTGAGTTTCGTTACAGTAAAGTTGATTGGTTTCAAAACCTGAGTAAATTATGAAATCACATACAGGCGAGTCTTTCATAATTCTATTTTACCAGGTTAGCCGGGGTTAGCGCACTGGCAAGTCTCTTGTAAGTTTGTCCGCCGTTAGAGGCGAGGTAAAGATATGCTAGCTTTTGCCATTCACAACGATACGATGGCTGTAAAAAAAAGTGCTTGTCAGCAGCTGCGGAAGTTGCAACGATTGAGCTTACGCTGATAAATGGCACAGCAGTTTCAACCCCAGCGACCAGCTCTCTGCGTTTCATTTCATCAAAATGTACTAGTTCTTCATTGCAGTGCGGCAGCTCTAGTAATCCTTCAGAAATGTGGACAAGGAGAATAACCTTGAATGGATTCATGTAAAGGTCCTAGTCTTGAGAAAATTAACTAATTTACACAAACAACTGATCCAAAGGCAACTGTCATCGTTGATTAAACGTCGAGTGAGTTTTTAGCATCAACGCTGCATTTTATACCGCTAAACCTTGACGTAACATTTTATTAACATGCGCATTATGCATGGCTTTATCAGCCACCTATTAATTTCACAACTGTGTCATTGTCTTCCCTTTGTGTTAGTCAAACGCATCCCCTGCACTTTTGAAAGTGTGTGTATCTCGTCATTTCTAAATTATACAAATTGCGAAGGCCTTGGGCTCGGAAAAACTAAGAGGAATTATAAAAGCATACTGAAGGTGCTAATAATTTCAGTAACATTATTCGATTGCCAGGAATGATCTACTTTGCAAGCAATAGTGGCCTGTCCAGAGACCGTAGCATATGAAGTCAATATTTCTAGAAGCTATTTCTTAAGGTTGCTTCAATGCTCAACCAAAATGAGGCTACAGTTTGTCCACAACATTGAGGTCGTTTCCTGAGCCGTAAGACGAGATTGATAAAAACCTTTTATCGGGCTGACGCTTCAGCGTCGTCGCGTTTTTCAGTGCCCAGGCAGTCCACAAACATTGTAACCAGATCATTGACAATCTTGATTTACGGCTCAGAAAACAAACTCGAAGTTATACACACACGATGCCGAGATTTGGTGACAGCCGTCATGGAAAATTCGACTATATTTCCAGAAGTAGTTGTACTTTATGAAACAAATCAAAGGGAATACTGAACTGATTGCATGCGTGCGCTTTCTCATACACTAAGCTTTTCGATTAACAAGATTTAAATCTGTTTTATCTTGCTAACACGGCTGTTCAACATGAAGGGAAGGCTCTGAAGAACGCTGAGCTTTGCGTTTCAAAAATGGTATATCGGTGCAGATTACTTGCCAGCATCTGCCGACGCGACGAAAGCGTATTCGCGTAGTTGCAGTTGCTTGCCCAATGGGAGCCGTCACAAAACAAACACCCCGATGGCGGATCTCCCGCCATAACGCTTTGTTGTTCTGTTCCTCGTGTTCCTGCTTGTTGCCTTGACAGGCTTCTTTCACGATCTCGGAGTAGTCCTCGTCCCCCGCGTGGCATTTCGTGATCTTCTTGATAAAGTGTTGCAGTTTGGACTGCCTCATGTAACATATCGGGCTTCCTATCCTCTACCGCGCACACTTGGAGGTGCGTGGCTAATGAATCCATTTCCTAAAAAGATTGATTCTTTGGAATTTATCAACAAAGTTTGAATATTACCTTGGGCTGTTTGCTTGCCTTAATTTTTGTGTTAGTGTCGCTTTTGTGTTTGCGTTTTTTGTTCTTCTTAACAGTTACACTTGAATAAATTAGTTTGACTCAAAATCAATTCATCTTACCTTTTGCATCTTTATTTTCTATCTTAGGTCAATCACGTCCTCGTGGAGAACCATGATAGATTCATGCAGGCTTTCCATTGCCTGGCACTTGGGAGTGCATATGTGCACGGGTGGCTCTCCTTTTACTTGATGTTGATTATCTTCTTCACCTGTGAGTTCAACCTCCATTGCGACGTACTGGCTTATATCTTCTTCGCCACTGGTTTCATTTTCATTATCCCTTCTGTGGCCTTCTTCTTCCATTTCTGGAAAAGAATGATTTTGTTTGAAAAATCTGCTTGATTGATTACCAATTGACAAAAAACTGCGGAGTTCAAATTCTAGCTAAGGCTTTGAATACAACATGGAGAAAATGGAGCAAGATACGAGGGAAGAACAAAACGATCTTCAGAGTTATCTTGAAGAATGTTGCTGACATGATTACCGCCATCAGCGGCATTGATAGTGTTTGCCGTGCTATGTTTCTATAGATATTACGGCGATAACTGTTTTCTCGCGTTGAGCTTGATTGCGTTGCTCTGCACGCGAGGATAGTGATGATCACTGACCCGATAAGCGTGAGAAGCATGCAGGCGGTAAATACTGCATAACGCTTCATCATTGATAGCGCTTCCATTATATCTGGAAACTCAAATTTGAGCGTATTCGTCAAGCTTGTTTTATCATCTTTCGCCGCTGTCAATTTGTAAATTGGCAAGGAAGTTTGAATAAAATGCAGTTGTCCGGTTATTGTGAAATGTGCTCGCCTTCGCTACAAAATGCATGGCATGTCTCAGCGAAAACAACTTAGTTGGAATAGAAATGTATCTCATTAAGAAGCCTGAGAACAGTTGGGAATAAACGATTGAGACTGGCAATTTACCTCTGCTACTGCCTCCGGGATGTCCGAAATACAGGATATGTGTGTTATCGCACCCTTCAAGCAGTTGTAGCAACCATAAATGGTCGCGCTGGGGATTTGGCACTGAAATTTCTCGTATGTGAATTGCAAATTTAAATTGATTGTAGCTAGAAGCAAAGCAACACTGAACTGGCTTCCGAGGCTCTCACGGTGAGTATGCTGCTCTTGCCTTCTGGAATGATTTGAGCATTGGGTATGCGAATTGGGAGGATTTGTTTCAGTTCTATCGTTTGTGATATGTTGTTATGTGTGCAATAGCAATTGATACTGTCTTGTGCTGGCCTGCAGTCGCAGGTGTCTCGAATTGTGCACTCTAAATTTTCCACTGGCGATGTCGTATTGTTTTCAGTTTTGACACATGCGTAGCGAAAGCTATTATGTTCTTTCGGCGACAGTGAGGCGATGAGGCCACCGCGCTTTTGGTGGGTTTTCGTGGTGGCTTTGTGGCTGCCGGCTGAGAGCCTGTGATTGTCTGAGTGGGGGTCCAAGTTTTGGCAGATGTTAGTACATAAAAAACCTTCTGATCGAGGTCTATAGTTGGACACTGTCACATGGTCTTATATTTATAAGCGCTTAGAAGTAAAGCTCATCACTTCAAATAATTTTGAACTCTGAGCAGCAGCCCCGCAGTAGAACGAGTGAGTCTATCAAAGATATCTGCGCAGCAATGGGTGAGGGGACTGTCACCAAATCCACGACAGCCCGGTGGTTCCAAGGCTTTAGAACAGAAGATACAGCATTGGGCATCAGGAGACATATTATCATTCTTTCATCAAGGTGATCAAATAAGCTCAACCTTAACAGTTGCTTTCTGATAGTGCTTTTTACGCTCTATTCATACATATGCAAATTACTTCGATTTTTCTCACTTTCAAAAAATTGTGGGCCAAAACATGAATTTTAGTCTAAAAATCTGCGCCAAACGCCGCACTTTTTCGAATAAAGTGCCTTTTTGTATGAAATAATGGGCAATTTTTGAATAATCAAGTTATCATTAAAAAGAGCTTGGAAAGCTCTTTCGAATGATATGCCATAGGTCGAGGAACTTCCAGGTAAAGCAGCACAAATTCGGATGGCGTTCAAAAAAGTCTGTCTGAATTCTTTGAAGCGCCGTTTGAAGGAATTTCGGTGAGGTGCTGCAAGGTGCTGTCAAGATAACCTGAGAAAGTCACTTTATATTAGGTTGTCCGGAAATTAATGCCCGTTTTAAATTTCAACCGCAATAAGTCATACACTTCTCATCTCTAAATAGGTTGCAAAGTACCATTCGATAGAGCAAAGCAAGCTCCACAAGAAGTCCATCTTGCTTTTGCAACAGCTCTCATCCATCTCGAGTTTCGAGCCAAAAACTAAAAAGACTCAGCAGTCCGAAAAATCGAAAAAAATCGTGACTCAGTTCATAAAAATCCTACAAAAACTCTAACTTGTTCACGCAAACACTATCCACTTAAGACATCCATATACGCCGTTGCCGTATTTTTTTCTCTGTTAGAAACCAAGAAAACGGAAATTTTCGTGCATTTGTCAAAGTGATGCTGTGCCGTCCCCACATAGGTAATTGTATACCACAAGCCTGTAGAGGTACAGACTTGAATTTTCAGCTTTCTACAAGCTTTAGTTCTCGAGAAATTTGAATTTTAGCTTGGACCACCTAACTAGAGAAAGCTATATTCGGTATTTCTCGAGAACTAAAGCTTGTAGAGAGCTGGAAATTTAAGTCTGTACTTCTACAGGCTTGTGGTATACAGCTATCTATGTGGGGACGGCACAGCATCACTTTGGCAAATGCATGAAAATTTCCGTTTTCTTGGTTTCTAACAGAGAAAAAAATACGGCAACGGCGTATATGGATGTCTTAAGTGGATAGTGTTTGCGTGAACAAGTTAGAGTTTTTGTAGGATTTTTATGAACTGAGTCACGATTTTTTTCGATTTTTCGGACTGCTGAGTCTTTTTAGTTTTTGGCTCGAAACTCGAGATGGATGAGAGCTGTTGCAAAAGCAAGATGGACTTCTTGTGGAGCTTGCTTTGCTCTATCGAATGGTACTTTGCAACCTATTTAGAGATGAGAAGTGTATGACTTATTGCGGTTGAAATTTAAAACGGGCATTAATTTCCGGACAACCTAATATAAAGTGACTTTCTCAGGTTATCTTGACAGCACCTTGCAGCACCTCACCGAAATTCCTTCGAACGGCGCTTCAAAGAATTCAGACAGACTTTTTTGAACGCCATCCGAATTTGTGCTGCTGCACCTGGAAGTTCCTCGACCTATGGCATATCATTCGAAAGAGCTTTCCAAGCTCTTTTTAATGATAACTTGATTATTCAAAAATTGCCCATTATTTCATACAAAAAAGGCACTTTATTCGAAAAAGTGCGGCGTTTGGCACAGATTTTTAGACTAAAATTCATGTTTTGGCCCACAATTTTTTGAAAGTGAGAAAAATCGAAGTAATTTGCATATGTATGAATAGAGCGTAAAAAGCACTATCAGAAAGCAACTGTTAAGGTTGAGCTTATTTGATCACCTTGATGAAAGAATGATAATATGTCTCCTGATGCCCAATGCTGTATCTTCTGTTCTAAAGCCTTGGAACCACCGGGCTGTCGTGGATTTGGTGACAGTCCCCTCACCCATTGCTGCGCAGATATCTTTGATAGACTCACTCGTTCTACTGCGGGGCTGCTGCTCAGAGTTCAAAATTATTTGAAGTGATGAGCTTTACTTCTAAGCGCTTATAAATATAAGACCATGTGACAGTGTCCAACTATAGACCTCGATCAGAAGGTTTTTTATGTACTAACATCTGCCAAAACTTGGACCCCCACTCAGACAATCACAGGCTCTCAGCCGGCAGCCACAAAGCCACCACGAAAACCCACCAAAAGCGCGGTGGCCTCATCGCCTCACTGTCGCTTCCCGCTGAGAACTGGCAGCGAGCAGGCTGCTGTGAAGTCTTCAGCGCGAAGCGAAACCGCCGCTTTCGCTCAAAATTATTTGAAGTGCCCCATTACTTTTGGATCACCCTAATAGGACGCCGACAACTTGCTGCCCTCAGCTTTCAAACTTTTCTCTTCGAAGCAGAAGCGATGATCAACACAAAGCCTCTGGCCTACGCCGGCAGCAACATTGATGACTCACTCATCATCAGGCCAATCGATTTTTTGATACCGCATGCTCAGCTCAACCCTATGAAAGAACAAGATGAAAGTGAAACAGAATACGTACCACACATAACCAGAAAATCTGAGGCAGTAAAATATTTTGCCGAAACAAATAACTACCTCACAAAGATGTGGACTATGTGGAGACAACAATATCTGCTAGAGCTCAGGAATTATCATGAAAAACGAATTCGCCAAAAAAGTTTCACGAGAAAGATACCACACATTGAAGAAGTAGTACTTATCATGGACGATAAAATAACACGAGGATGCTGGCCAATGGGTCTGGTAACTCACATCGTGGAAGGATCCGACGGAGAAGTACGTAAAGTCCGGCTACGCACTGCTTCTCAGAAAAGCATCACCCACTCAATCAATATGCTTGTTCCAATGGAATTGGATGACTCGTCTACTATGAGCGATTGCGAAAGGCCGATGAACGAGACAAAGTCGAAACCATCAAACATTGAAAGAAAAGAGAACCACCTTCGCGAAAGATTGCCTAGGAAAGCAAAAGAAAATATACAGTATACTCTAAATTGCACATGTAACAATACAAAGGCAAAACAAAAAGGCGGTTTCCATTTACCATGGCATGCATGGCTTTACATTATCATTACGATGTTGCTATTTGCGCAAGCAAGCGCACGCAAAGAAACATTGTTGAAAACGGAGTGCATTCTTGGTGAAATCAAAATACACGGTCTCAACACACAAACGCTGCAAGTATGCGGAGAACATCATTGCTTGGAAATAAGAAATGCCGAGGAAAATGTCACAATACAATTTCCGCCAGAAGTGATACTACACAAACACAATGTTTTGATAAAAACTTTGTCGTCTGATGTCACACAAGCATTTCAATTCACATGCCCATCAAGTCCGTTTTGCGAACAAATCAAATGCACGTTTTGCTCCATCATGATCAACAACCCACACTGCTGGCCAAAAACTACCATCTTAGTCTTAGCAATCATTAGTTACACAATTATAATCACCTTGTTACTAGCCCTGTTATGTCTCAAGAAATTGAGGCGATATCTTCGTAGTAGTACTGTTAAACTCATTGCGCTAGGACTGAATATTCTCCATGCATGTTGCTCCACAATAGGCCAAAGGGACACAAAAACTAATGAGGACATCCCCTCGTAGAAGTGAGCGCAAGATCTCAGGAA